ACAATACCGTAGGGTAATACTAACAAAAGGCGAATTGGGGTATTTGGACAGTATCCAAAATTGATACATATACCAGTTATTCAAATTATATACAATGACGGACGGTGACGGACGTGTTAACTGTATGGTGGTATCAACATGTAGGTTTTGGGAGTTTTCAGAGTTGAATAAATCAAAATGTTTTATTTAAATATGCGGAAAAATTGATAATTTTAGTTAAATTCATTTCGGACGATTATTTTATATTACCAGGAAAAGTTTATGATGGTGATTACATTTTTTAAATTCCTGTTACATTTTATAATATTATTGTGATTTCTACACTAATTTATCGTACAGTATTATTATTACTATACCTATAGATATGTTCATTCAGCGTTTACAAATACAATTAACTTGCAATTAAACTACGTATTCATACACATTTTAAAGTTATAAAAAGGTGACTTATTTTAATTTATACAGCGCTGATAAACGTAAAATTAATGATACTAATGCCCACATCATATTTTTTATTTGTTTATAGATATCGCCTGACGCAAAAGTACAGAGAAAAGTACTCATCACTTCATATATGCACTGTGAGATATGAATCTTATGTTTGAAGAATCTCTTTATTTAATTCTACGAGGCTTTCCGATGATTTATTATTAATCGACCCATAAGATTATCATCGTATACTATTAGTTAATTACTGTCGTAATTAAACCCACGCCCCAGAGTTTTATCGCATCTCCTGTCGTAGGAGAATCTGTATTTAAACAGGCCTATATACACAGTCACCTAAATACTCATTTCGAAATAACATAGTAGATTTCGCAAACGAGCGAAATTCAGCGTCTTGTTATCTACAAATTCCGTTGTAAAAACAGTTCATTTAACACAGAGTATAAGAGGTCGGAGTAGAATTTTGTTCTATTAATTGGTATTAGACATTATATTATTAAATATTTCAGAACGAAGAAACATACACACTATGTTTAATTATATATGCAACAACCTTTAAGTCATAATGTTAAGCCATCGTTTGCGTATTGAAAACTTTTTAATTAAGCCTCTCATAATATATTTGAGTCAACACACACGATTAGTAATATACTAATATGTTTAAGTATACATATAATACAATATTAAACCCTGTCTTTGCATTGCTGTTGAAAAGAGTCAAAGTCAGATATTCAAGAAGGCTGCAAGAAGAGACATTATGATTTAATATTATGATATCATGACCATTTTGAGATCAGATAACAAAATAAAATACATTTTCAAAAACCATAAGTGTTCAACATTAAATATATCATAATGGTGGAAATAATTCGATATTTTTATCCAACAGAAATAGTATAGTAAAAATCTGAAAATAAAATTAATTTTAACTGCACAAAAGTGAATACTTATTTCAGTATATTATTACAGAACTACCAACCTGGTTACCTATACATGAACAATTTATAAAATAAAATATAATCTAAAGAATAATTTAAAAATAAAATGTATTAACATATTATTTCATGAAAAGTAAATGCAACAATTTTTTCATATAAAAGAAGGCAATGGAAAAAATGTAATGTCAAAAAATAATATCCGATTTGAAGAATTATAACGGAAATCTGGTGGTAAGTTGCAGGGTTAGGGGAAAAACAAATCCTGTTCTCGGCAGGAAGCCAATTACTGAGTTGGTCCATTTCAGTGGGGGGAGTCAAAAACTAATCTGCCCAAGTTTTAATTTCTATATTTCAACACCAAAGTTATATGGTCAGGAAAGGATTGCGTTAAAATTTAAAAGAAATACTGGTGAGTAAATGAATAGTTTTCAATTCACTAAAAAAGGCGTTTCTCGAATAATTACTGTAGAAACAATTTTTAATTGTCATATTTATAGGTACTCTAAAATATTTTATCATTGAAATTAATCTATTGTATTTATATGATAACTTACTGAACATTATTACATGTTAATGTGTTCTAGACTATTTACAATTACATTAAAATCAACACCCAATTGAATAATTAAAAATTGATACCTATAATAAACAAATAATTAATGTTAAGATTTTTTGAAGAAATCTTTTCTAATCGATGTTCAAGGAGTGTAATATATTTAACTTACTATAAGCAATAAATAATATTCGAGGAAAATATAAAAGAATAAATTATAATATTTGGCACGTATTTTTAAAAATATTATATGTATATATATATACCATATTCATTATAATATGTCATTTCATACAAACGTACATAATTTATTGTTTATTTACATATTTTGGATGTTTTTATTCACTCTGAGATTGATGCATCAATTATTTCTGTTAGCTATCAATTTTCTACTTGAGCAGCATACATAATATCATGATGTTTAAAAATACCAAACAGAAAATAAAGTCTACAAAATTAAAAATGTAAAACTAAAATAAAATAAAGGTTTAAGATTTATATTTATACGGTAGTTGTAGTTTCTCAAAATACAAATCTGTGTAAATCCCTTACGTAACAATGGTATTTTCCGGGATAAATAGAAGACGATTATTATTGAATTTTAGTTGAAAAACTATACAATTAATGAATAACCTACACTGTTTCGAAATCAACCAAACATAATAAAATCAATTTGAGAAAGAATTAATGTGATATAAAGCAGTTAATAAAGAGATTAGAAGAGGAAAATTATCGAAAAAAATATGTAACGAGTAATGTTTTCTTTTTTTTTTAATCCTATAGTCAACGTCTACCTACACTAAAGGACTTGTTAAATGTTAATCTATTATTGACTTTTATATAAACTGATTTCCTGATAAAAAAAAAAGATGAAATTTCTGCGTAACTTCATTGCATTAATGAAACTATATATATTTTAAAATAAAGATAAAGCATACACCTGCTAGAATTACAATTTTAGAACACATTATTACAATGTAAACATCATTAAAATATAGTAAAAATAACAAGATATATATATATAAATATAAATACTAAATAAAATGTGTATAAAAGTATAAATGGCCTCCCAGTGGGACCACAAAACTAACAGAAATTACCTCAGAAATATAATGTTCATACATATACTGCTTGAAAACGGTTAGACATATTGCATGATCGTTTATAGTTTGCATATATACGAGTATATATATATTGAAAGTAGAGAAATAAATGTACTCGAAATACTGCCAAAACGGGCGCATAACAAGGTCGATTCTGGGTCAACCCTTTCACACATGAACACAATTTAAAGCGAATAATTTCACGTCGACATATGAATTTCGAACCGAGTGGAACGGGATGGAGAGAGAGAGAGATAGAGCACGCGGTCATAGGCAAAGGGAAAAAACATCCAAACGTCCCTTACGTCCCATTTGGCTAGACGTCAAAAAACCTCATGTATGGGTTAGGTTGACTAAGCGAGTGCGAGCATGCTGTGCACTTGGGAGGCGGGGATTTTGCCGCATTCCCACTGCATCATATTATCATCTATAACAAACACACTTATAATGGACATTAAATAATAGGATTATTCGCACTGACACACGCACTTCCAAAGATACTATATAATTTCTAAGCTTCTATTGCTGTTTACAATGATCTATGTTATTATTGTGCCAGTGAAGACGTTTTAAGCGAAACGTAAATCAATTTTCCCATCGAAGTTTATTCGTCGCAAGGACGCCACGCGACAACGGCTTTTAATGACTATTACCAATCAGTTTAGTGAGGTTTTACTATTCAACCATAGACACTGTACAGATAGATGATAATTTATGTAATCAATATTTCCCTTAGAATACCTACTAAAAAGTACCCGAGCAAGTCATCGCGACGACATAACCCAGAAATTATAATTTAAATATTATATGGCGTTTCAATATACTGAGAGTGAAACGGGTATTATTATTTGATCTCAAAATAATCTAGCCACAACTAAACAAATACGATATATTTTATACAAATATTATACTCATAATAAAATGTGTTGATTGTTTCGAGAAATTCGAATTAGCTATAAAAATATGTGGATAGATAGCATGATGTTTTGAATGAATTTGAGTTGTTTACGAGTTTACATATTTAGGAACAAAATGCGAAACAAAAATTTTATTTGTGACTACAATGAAAAATATAAATACTCAAAAGAAAACGATTGTGTTATTATTGTACGGAAAATCGAGATAAAAACGAGTTATACGCACAGTATACGGTTTTTATTTTTGACGGCGTGTCAATTTTTCATAGCAAAAACTTTTCTATAGTTATACTTGCCATTTAAAATGGATCGAGAAAGCATTCATTTGATATAGGCACTGTGATATTCCAAGAATGGAGGTCATATTTAAACTTTTTTGATAACGAGTTATCGAACTGAAAATAATTTATGAACATATATAAACACAAATAATAATGAAACTCTGTTTTATGTAAACAAAAATATTTATAAAAATAAATATTTAACACAAAACATTTACAGAAACACTACACAAATACTTAGCTATATACTAGCTATAACCATTGTGAAAATAATATACATGATTATATGAAAATAATACCAACATAAACATACAGGTTGTCTCAAGTCCTTAATAATTTAACTAACAAGGATTTAAAGGGCACTCCCTTAAGTATAATATTATTATACCACGCCACCCAGAAAAAATTTACCGGTACAAAAATGATTTATTAATTTGCTCTAAATATAGAATTCCTGTTTATCTAATGAACTAATAAGCTGCACTTGTTACAATTTTAATTAATTATTAAATATAGGTAAATTTTTTTGTTAAAGCGATATTTTCCACAGGTGCTTTTAATTAAATAACAAGCAATTTCTTTAGAACATAGTCAGAAGTATTAAAACGTTTTCTATACTTTTACTACAATATATTTTAGACAATATACAGAAAATAATTAATGAATTCTTCGATTAATTATCGTAAATTTATAATTTGATGTCAAAGAAAATGTTTTTGATTACCTTAAGTCTTAACAATAATAAGTACTGATATCTTGTGGTAACTCCATAATAATATAAATATTACATAAGAGAAATTTGTAATTTGTTCATTAATATGGATACTATAAAAGAACTAACATAGATTTTTTATTTCATCATCACGTCGAATAATACATAAATTGTCATACGAATATATTATATTCATAAACAAGGAGTTTAAGATAGCCATTCGATTTTTTTTTAGATTTAATATCGTACAAAGTTGATCCAATTTTGAGGAGTTTAAAATATTGGTCCTTCACCAAAGTAAAAAACACATATTATAACCAAAATATTATGAGTATAATAGAAGAAACAAAATTAAAATTCGTTGACCGTAGGGTGATTAAATCAACATCATCCAGAAAATCTACACTCACAATTTTAAGAGAATAATAAAAAAAACCAAGTATAAATAAAATATAATTTAGAACATACCTTTACAACTGGCGAGTTTAAATATATCTTCTTCACATGATCCTACAACAAAATAAATTATTTTTAATGCTTTAAAATGTATAATCGTCTGTAAAATGTAGGCAATACAATAATTATATATTTATTGATTTACTGAAGGCATTTCAAAAATAAAGTTAATGATTTAAAAAAAAAACCTTAAAAACTATATATTATTATAAATGTATAACTCATATTATAAAGTTAATTACCATATTTTATACATTTACATATTATATAATTAATTTCGAAAAAATTATCATGTATACGTAGCATATTTTATTTTGTTAAGCCACACTCTACTTTTACATAGGTCACATACATTCCAAGAATTAGAATAATACAAAAGTAAACAGTATAATTATATTGAGTGAATATTTTTTTTACTACTTTATCAAAGGAAACCATGAAATATAAAGTTCTAATATAAAACTTTTATTCCCTATTAAATTGAATTAAATAATGAATAACTATTTTATAAATTAGTTATCAACAATTTAATCATAATATTAAAGTTTTATTATATACTATATTATATACTAAGTTGTATTAGGTACATTGAAACATATTCAGTTAATTATGTAAAATCAAATGTTTTTAATATTATACCATTATTCGCATGAAAACAATTAAACATTTATTCATGATAATAATACACATATTATAATAATATATATTATATTATGTACATACATATTATGTTAAATCAGTTAATTCATAATAATTTTCACCGTGGCCCATTTTTCAGCAAGTTCTGTGTGAGCATACATCTAGCACGTAAGAGTTAATTTTTTGGGACAGTAAAAATTTTTAAAAATGCACACACCATTCTTGACATAGGAATTTCAATACGGCTTGAATTCTATAAGGTGGTTTTTCAAAAATGTTAATAGTTGAGAAACAAAAAACTTAATGAAATTCAAAAAAAGTACTAATTATTAATGACATTTTGACCATTTTTTTAATGAAATTAAGCTCCTAAAGAAATCGTATTTCCACGCTAATAATGATTACATTATTAATTTCAAATACGTGTAAACGCCCTCCAAAAATACTCCCTACTCACTAGTCACTCATCCTATATCTTAATTTTTTTTTAACATATAGAACAGCTTTTAATGTAGAAGTGATTATTGTAAATAAGAAGAATAAGTTAAAACTATACGATCGAATAAATTACTATATTATTACCTAACATCAACAAGACATTTTAAACATTTAACAGGTAATTTATAATCTAGCATAATTTTTCGAATTCACATTTTATTACCTATACATAAGTAAAACAAATTTTTGAGACATCGTCAAGATGTATAATACAATATGACATAGGTAGGTATGTAGGTAAATGTTGAGTACTATAATTCCTGGAATCACCTCTGACATTGCGTAATTGTTAAGTTTACTTTGTTAGTAACATTTATGATAGCTAGTATTCAATGTACTACAGGTATGTTCTATAGTTATTTAATAAATAGAACATAAACTGACTTTAATAATATTGGATTTTAAAACACTACCTATATTAGATTATGTCGTAATATACATATTATTATACCAATGAAAGAATAAAACATATTATACCAATAAGATAAAAATTTAAAATTAAGTGATATTTAATTGTTTTCAAAACACTGCCATGAAAATTCTTGAGGCCAATGACTTTATAAAATATTTTGGAGTTTTTTCATTAGAAAAATGAATTAAATCATTTTAACACAGTAAATAAGAGTTGAAATAAACTACTACAATTAATTGATTTAGTAAAATATTAAAATCCTGATTACCATCAAAATGTTTTGTTTTATTATCTTTATGAAAAGTTGTTAAGCTAGGTACATGTATAATTATTTCAGTTACCCGATATTGTGGAAGTAGGTACCTTCCTTCTTTCAGTAATCATTTGGGACGTAAATATTAAAATTATGCCAGAAACTGTTGAAACTGATGCATTAATTATATAATCATTATAAACATAGTTTAATACCAGAATATTACATTGAATACCAACGATTAAATTTAAAATTCAAAATTAATAAGTAATTTTGGTTTTAAATATTATTTTATGTTTATTAAGTTTCATACCAGAGTTTAAAATATTATACGTATCATCTCGAAATTATACATAGGAATACATTCGGTTCACAGATTCTGTAAGATACAAATATTTCGAATAATAAGACAGGAACGAACAAAAATTGTGTTATATTGCATTATATTATTATGGTATCTCATCAGTCATCGTTATGCGTTAAAAGTCAAAGTTATAACCATTGACAAAAGATATGTATAAGAAAATAGCAGGAGTAAAATCAATAGTTTTACCATATTTTCTCAATTCACAATCTAAAAACTCAAAAATATACATGACATTCTACATTTATACGATACGGAGGAGGGGTCTTGCCGGTTTACTAATTTGGTTCAAAATGCTTTAAAAGGCCGACGCCCGCAATTTTCCTCTGTAGGTAGGTATAGGTATTTTCCAGTAGTTAGACAACGGCGTGACCGGGACAACATTTGCATATATAGAAGCGCATTCCCCAAACAATGATCTAAAATCGTACATTGTATAATGAACACTTTAAATATAAGCAATTTAAATAAAAACAATATTAGGTAGTCCAAAGCTCTTCGTACATAAGCTATGATTAGGAAAATTCCCAAAATGAAGATTTCGAAGAAGAAAAGTTAGAATTATGTTCTTTATACGTATTAAACGTTCATTAAAAAAATAACTTTAAAAAAAATTATGACTATAGAACAAATATTAATTTATTTACTTAGTAGTAGTAAATGTTTACAGCAGGGATGGTCAGTATCAAAGATACATTGTATAAGTAGAAACAATGTCCATTTATTTTCATTATTATTCGTAAAGTTTATTAATTTATTAACGAAAGCAATAATTATTTTATTTTATTCTGATTGCTATATTATTAATTATTACTCGTTAGTATATTCACAATCGTCGCGGACGCATATACGGTAATAATACGAAAGTAACTTTTATTCATTATATAATAAGTTATCAAAACATTTTCATTTTAGTTTCATACTTCCAGTAATAAAGTTCCTAATTCAATGACAAAAATAATTCATTACAAAGGCTAAATAATTAAAAATCGTTAAAAAGTTATTCATACGCTTCAACACAAGTTTGTGTTCATCGGCACCTGTAGAACGCATATGTTTTCATCTGCAAGGCTTATCCATAATCCAACAAGAAACCAATTATCTGACGTAACTTTTAAAAAAGTTGTTTTTTTTATGAGAAATAATTTTTTATAAAACGTAATATACACCCTTTAATAAACTATCTATAAAATAAAATTGTACATACAATAATAATTAGAACTATACAATGTTTTATACATTATCTACATATTTTATTTCTTGATTATATTTATTATATACTTATTACAACTATATAAATGGTACCTATAGCAGTAATTATTAATATTTAACTTGAAACATTCTTTAATACGTATATTGAAATATCGTATATATTATATTTGATTAGTTAAAATTCAAGTTTCCAGGATCTGGTATTAGGATATAATTTTCAAGTATTTTCTTCATCCCTGGATATATTATTATATAATATATATTATTTAAAAAATAATGTTTAAAATATATTTTTAATTTAGTTAAATAATATACGTTCAATATATATTTTTAAAACTATACGTGTATCTAATTCAATAAATATTGGAAGTAAAAACATATACATTGTATTTTAACTGTGCATCAATAGTAGGTACATTTGATCCAATACATCGGAGGTTAAATAAAACAAAAGATAAACATCCGTATCGAGAAGATAAAATTAACTAGAATTCAGTTCAACTAAAACCAAGTATTTGTTCACAGGTATGTTTACCATGTAGAAGTTTCGCTTCAAGTGAAAAACGATTCGTTAAGTTGGACTTTACAGTTTCCATAAAAGTTGAAAACATTTATATTTTTATTACCTAACTAATTGGACTGCTCAAGGAACTCGAGCAAATAGACTGAGCTGAACACGAGAAAAGACAAAGTAAATTCTAACTGCTATGTTTTATCAATGATTGAATTTATGGTTTTTCATTTACGTTTGCAACTTAATATAATAAAAGCGTAATACGGTAAAAAATTGCCAACTAAGAGAATTTCTAAAATTAGTGCAAGACGTGTTTACTACATTTATTTTATAACAATAAAATACAGGTATACTTGTGTAATATTTGGTCTATTTTTAACCAACACATTTAATGGTATGAATGAATCGGTATCGTCACGCAAATTCCTAAACCTAAATTCGACTGAAATGTCGAAAGGATATTTTCTGGAACCACGCAAATGAATAATTGGTTGTTTAAAGACATACAATGTGCTTAATATTGCCCAGTAATTAATAACACAGGGTTGTTTCCAAATCACGATCGAAGGAAAGGCGTGAATTTCCTGTAAGAGCTTTAAGAAGGGGAACGCCTATTGACGGCCAAAGTTAAAATCTGATAAGAAGAATCCGGGAGAATAGCGAAAATAAAGGGGAAGTGAGGAACTCAACGCCTTAAGGCCGGAAGCGAAAACGGCGCTTAATTTTAGTACATAAACCCATTTAAATTTATGACCCAGAAATCTTTTACCTACATTCAGGGAGGTGATGAAAAATTCGTAGTATAAACTTGTTTTAAAAAAGTATACTGACAATAACAGTTAATTGTTTAGTTAATATACACAAGTATTATAATAATAATAATAATAATAATAATAATAATAATAATAATAATAATGCAGTTTAATACAAGTTATTAATAAATATATAATTTTCTACAGGACACTACAACATTTTAAGAATTAAAAAATAATTAGTAAATTTTGACAGTGTTATATTTTTAATCCACGGAAATCGAAATAGTTTAGTTTAAATAAATGTATTTTTAAGTACCTACCATATAACAAACATTATGACGCATTTAAAAATAGATTTTTTTTTAATATTATCACTAGTTAAGTACTTAAATATGTACTCAGAAAAT